ACAAGACCTAAGATCAAGTTAAAAGGATGAACAACAAGTGAATATTCTTATACTACCTATCTCTTGTCGATCCCCAAGAAATGGAAGAGGTTAGATTAGTCGAAAGATGTAACGTAATTTTGCTTTATAAGTTTAAGGATGCAATGTAACCTTGCTTTATTAAGGTAAGAAGGGATAAAGAAAATGTCTCAAGTCAATGCATAAGTACCAAGCACCACGACATGGAAGTAACCCATGCCATACTCCCAAGAAAAGCTCAAACAACTTTTAACAAAAGGGTATAGGTGGGTAGGTAGAGAATACCTATAAGTGCAAGACAACTCTCTTTAGGGATCTTAACAAAATAGCCTTATACCTTCTAGAGAAATGGTGTCTCATCACAAAAGGGGTCGTAGTGATTGGGACTAGGCAACTATTTACCAAAAACACAAGTCTTCATAAAGTTGTAAGATCATGTATGGGGGTTGGCGCTTGCCTAGTGCCGAAAGGTCAAGGAAGTTAGTGACATGTGTAAGTATAAAGATCACAATTATGCTATTGTTGTATGAAAAATTTTAGTGTAAGAAACTAAAATCAAATTAATGATATGTATCTTTCGATGTCATTTAAATATTCTTTCTATGATCTATAAGTGTACCATCATCGAATCCAAACACTATAGCGATATTGATCTAAAAAAAAGCTAGACTTACTTTTTTCTCTCTTTCAATCCTTCGTAAGATCGTTATAAGTGATGGATTAAGAACTAAGAGAGATTGAAAATAAATCTGTTGTTGTAAGCACCATAGTTGTTGTATACAGTGACACTATTACAATCGCCTACGACCAAGGCATGTCAACCACCACAAATTGCGATCACCATTAGCTATTGTACCCCATGATGCTTCCATTGTGTACTATAGCATCTGTAAGCAACCATTGCCCACAATTGAGCTAACGATCATTAGAGGACATTACCTTCAACAATACTATCACCGACAATAAGTTGTCGATCATAGTCCATCGATCAAACACGAGGAATCTTACATTGCTCACAAGTAGGCGATGGACTAGATAGAAAGATGAATTGTTTAAACATCATAAATCAAACTCAAATAACATATTTTCACAAGCAAGAGTGCTAATAAATAGATATAAATTATTTAATTTCAAAACATGATTTTGACACTATAAAAATCATAACTATGCTACTATTATGCAAAAACCTTTAATGCTAAAAGTTGAAATTAAATAATGATAGATTAAATTTATAATGCATATTTTTTAATGTCATTTAGAAAGCCTTTATCTGATTTGTAGGTGCCAGATCAAAAAATTATAGCAGCTAGACTTACATTCTCTTCTCTTTCTATTTTTTTTTGTAAAAGAGATAGATTATGGACTAAGGAAAATTGAAAATAGATCTATAATATTAATAACATCACTAACGTAACATGAGATTAAGGGAAGATGAGAGAAGATATATAATATCTCAATAGTATTATGCAATGTTATATATAGTTCTCAGGAGGTTCTATCTATTTATAGGTGATAGTAGAGGGTTTATGATAAGTAATTAAGAGAGCCCCTCTCATTAAGATCCTCCTAAGAAATCCTATTATAATTAATTAATTTTTATTATGATTGATAATCGTAATCAAAATCTAATTAGATCTATGATATATCTTACTTAATTACATAAAATTACATAATTTAACGACCCATAATAGAGTCGACAACCGAAACCTCACAGTAAGCAAAATTTCTTGTTGGGTAAGTTTCGACCCACATTAAGCTGGTATTGACTTACTAAACCAATTATTACACGTGGACTGAACCGATCCATCGGATCGGGAAAAGTAGGAATTGGACTTTAATTTGGCCGTTCTAGTTCTTTAATTAGATAACCTTTGATCAATAACACCTAAAATACCCTTTTGTCTGTAATCGTCATTCCATTTGCTTTTAATAAAAGTATTTAATTATCCTGATTATATGTCATTCATCGCCTCTCATGCTCCCCATCTTTGACATTTCATTAGCTTTTTTTTTCTCTTTTTATCGAGAATACTCTCGGAATGAAACCTCACACTTGCAAATTTAATCTCCCAACCTGTGATGTTCTAACCTTTTTTTCCAGTTTATAATAATAATAATAATAATAATAGTAAATAAATAATATAAATAAATAAATAAATATTTAAATATTTAAAAATTTTAAAATAGAGATAATCGTACTTTTCAATAGATATTTATATCTGAAAATTATGCGAAATATCATTAAATTTATGAAATTTATTTTATTAATAAAATAAATTATATAGCTCCTGCATCATATGCTTTGGCTGCGTAACTCATTTTAATGTTAGTTGAATCGATGGATTAAATATAATATAATACAAAAACAAATAGATAATAAATATTACGATCGAATGCCAAAATATCTTATCTCTTCCATCATCTCCGCAGAAACCATTGCTTTTGATGGGCACCCAGCTCAGCTGGACGCGTGCGAATCACGCGCGTCACGCCCGGTGATCTCTGCGCAACGATGACGCCGCTTCGCATGGCGACGACGCAGAAGCGACAGTCCTCCCACCGCCACCACTACGCCTTCCGAACGCCAGCCGAAAGGAGAGCAATAAAGGCAAGAGGTCATATGGAGACACATGATATGGAAGCATGCAAAAGGCTACGACGATGGATCGGCTAGCCACCATGTGACGGTGGAGCCGGCCAGCGCAGAGATGTCTCCGGGCCGGCCTCACTCGCCGGTGGTACCACCACAACCAGCCTGTCATGTAGCTCCATCACTGTTTCTTCCTCCACTTTGATCCGAGTAAAAGAAGGAAGGGGAAGACTCCAGTGATTCCCGGAAGATATCCGGGTTGTATTCACGGGTGCTGTACACACGAGACTGCTCTTCTTCGCCTGCACATATGCCTGCCGTATGGTGGATGGCACTGCTCTTTGCCTCCATTATTATCGCCATTTCTAGATCATAGCAGGTTACGAAACAAATCAGCTTCTCTCCTTTGCATTCAACTCCAAGTAGATGCGAGAATTAATGTCTCTGGTAATATGACCAACTCATATAACGTGTTCGTCGTACGTAAATGATGAGCATGAGGTGAAACCACATTTTGCTATGGCATTGTAGCCAAAAGCAGCAGCATTAATTCTTGGAATTAGTAGTCCTTTCTGTTTGGTGCGGGAAAAGGTCGATGATGCCGACGACACCATTCAACAAAATGCTTACAGCGAGGAAGAAGAGATCGGAGCAGAATTATGTATGAAGTTAACCTTCATCGAGGGTTAACTCTTCGATGACTATAAAAGCAGATGACAAGAAGGGAAAACTCGAACCTGATCGCTCTCTTTCTCTCTCTCTCTCCACTACTCGAATTGGACAAACCAACGAGCCTCTTCATTTCTTTCCACAGCTTTCTTGAACTGTTGGGTACTGCTGAAGGCGAGCAGAAGACGGTTCAGGAAATCTGTGGGAATACATGCAGAGGCTGGAAGAACTGAGTGAGTGTCGCAAGAGATGTATCTCCAAACAATGGTAAACGATGTTCTTCTTGATTCGAGTTGATTTCATTGTCTCGATCATTTGTCTGTGATGAGAGTGTGTAGATCCATGACATTATGGACAGAGTGATGAACTAATATAGTTCATGACATTAAGAACCTCTCTTCAGGTTTTGGAATTGAGGTTGATATCTACCGATTTCAATGCCGAGAAATCATTGCGTGTTTATATAAAGAGGATTTTGAAGATTGAGATTACATTACGACACAATTCTTATGTGTAGTCTTATCTATGATTGCTGGTAAACTTAGCAGATCACGAACACTGTAAATGGCAATGTTGCCAACTATTGCCTTGGATATATGTACTCATCCATACATTTACACATACATTCCCAATTTGTTGGAACTTGTTTTTTTTATATATTATGATGAATTTGATACAATTTATTACTTTTTCTCTTCAAATTGATATTGTAGGTTGCTTTTTTTTTCTTCCAAAACTCCTACTTGTTTCATATATTTTATGAAACATAAATTCTCTCATTGAGCAATAAATATTCAGTATTACATATCATTCCAAAATTTCACTTATATATATATATATATATAATTGTGTGACTTCATTGTATGTGCCATCCTCTTTTAATATCTTGTTAGCTCCAAGTCATCTTCATATTTCTTTCACTTTTTGATGTTCTATCTAAAGTATCTGTGTATTTTCAAGACCAAAGTGACTTCCAATGAGAGTGGAGAAGAAAGAGAAGTGAAAACTTAATGAAGTAAAGAAGAGAGAAGAAAAACATAAATAAAAATAATTAGTCTATGAAGTATTTTAGGTACTCTAGATTTTATATTTTAATTTTAAATGTTTATCAGTAACTATAATTAGTAAAAGTTAACAATAGTTTATTCGATGTATATATATATATATATATATATATATATATATATATATATATATATATGTGAATTGAAAATTTTATAATGGCAAATAAAATATTTCGGAATATCGAAAGCATATAAGTATGTGTACATGCCATCACTTTTCTAGTCAATCTTGATTTGATACTTTGCTACTTTGTGAGTAAGTCAATTTTAAAAGTCAAATTTGTCAAAGAAACAAAACTAAATAACATTTGCTATTAAATAGACGCATTGAATATGTACGAATTTAAAAGTCAAACTTCATAATAATTAACTAAGTATAGAATATTATAATTTATTATTAATTGATTATCATGATCTCATATCATATTACCTTCACTTAGTGGATAAGTTCCTTCTATTTAATTTACTATTCGATCGATATATCTTTGTCTCATTTATCTGTATCTCATTCCTCTAAAGGCAATCTGTGGTAACATTCTGATGTCGGTTTGCTGTGTTTGATATCAATTTCACATAGTTTATTGGGATACTGTAACGAAGCCACGCGTGCGTGCGTGCGTGCGTGCGTATGTACGTACACGTACACGTACACGTACACGGTTTTCTTTTGGCTTCCCTCTGCCTAAGCGTTGCGGTCTAATTTCTTTCGGGTGATAAATCGAGGGCGGTCGATGAACAGTTCAAGCTTGAAATATCCTGCGCAGGAAACGGGAAATGGCATTGACGGCGGCGGCTTGGGGCCAGGCGATTCTGCGGCCGCTGCCTCCTCATCTCCAACCAAGCCCAACCCGACGCCATCTTCCCTTCTGGATCTCCGCCAGAACCGCCGCCGCCGACACTACCACCGTTGTCCGCGTCTCTCCACGACCTGGAGGAGGAGGAAGAGGAGGGAAGGAGGAAGAAGAAAAAGAAGGAAGCATGAGTTCTATTGATACGTCGCGACTCTTGTCGGTCGGTCCTCCCATGCTTCTCTTCTCTTCTTTTCGCAAGCTGCTTTCTTTCGGTCCCCTTGATTTTTTATAGGGCTATTTGGGGAATCCATCACTACTGTTTCGATTGCAGTGTTGGTGACAGATTCTATGTGACGAAGACCCAAGTAAGCCAATCGATCCATGACCGTGGTTATGGATGGTCAATAACCTGGCGATTCTCTAGTTTAGTTAAATGTTTGATTTATTGTTCTAGATAATGCAGAATTCTTTAAGTGCCACATGCTCTATCGAAAAATATGAAAATTGCCGAGATGCTTATTTTGTGCCTTCCGATTAATAGTGGTTCGTCTGAAATGGTTTCAGACGAACCACTTTATTGTTTGCATCATGTCATTAAGTATTTTCATCAGTTCGGTATCGGAGTTGTGCTTGCATCAAATATTTGAAGAAAACCTTTGGTGATCAATTAGACTCCTAAATATGATGTGGTAAATCAGGATGAATAAAAAAACTTCAAAGTTCCCAGCCAAGTGGGTGCTCCTATCTTTTTCTAACAATTGCATTGTATGCATGGAGAGGTTCTGATATGCTTGAGCTGTGTGTGTCGAAATAGCTTAAATGTATGAGCAGAAATCTTGTACATGTTACTTCTTATAAGATCCCATGGATGTAAGAGAAATTGGTCATTCTTATTATGAATGTCAGATGAAGCTAAAGAATGAATGGGAAGTTGAAAGTCAGCAGAACTCTACTTAAAATAATGTGCAGGTGAGGGTAGACAGGATTCTGAACAGAGGAAGTTTATTGACATTAATATGCATATTGAAGTTATTGATGCCACTAGGGCCTTTTAGCGAAAAAGAAGTTGTAGTAGTGGTGCAGAATAGCTAGAAGGGGGTTTTCTAACTGCTACAACAGAGGAGGGAGTGAAGTGTTTGATATGAGAATTAGAAGAGAAGAAATGATTGATAAGTTTGATAATTCAGTGGCAGGCTAGCAACTTGGAAGCGTAGGAAAATTGAAGGCTGTTATCACAAAATGGAAAATCTATGATGGTAGCCTGAGTTCTAATCCTCTTCATAGCCCGTGAGTTGGTTAGGAGCTATCACAAAAAGTCTATAAGCCTTGCACGTGTAATAAGGATTATGATTTACTTTTATGGGAGTCTATTGAGATGCCTGATGTTCTTGGATTTCCTTAGCAAATCAAGCGATGGACTATGAAATGTATAAGAAATTCTGACTTCACAATTTGCTTAGTGATAGAATGATAACATATTTTAGAGGGCGGAAAGAACTAATACAAGATTCCCCTTACCATGTCTATTGATCATAGCCATCAAGTGCTTATCTCAAATATTGGATAGATCAATTGGTGATAAGGAGTCTGGTTTCTACACTTTGTGAAAGAAGTTCAGTACTAATCTAATTTTTGCATCAATAAGTTTTGGAACCTTGGTGTAAATTTCAATTGGGTCCATAACCTTAAAACAGAAAAAAAAAAGGACTCCTAAAATTTTTATAATGTTTCTTTAGCTTTCCTCTGTAATCCATAACAGAAAGCTGACATGATAATTACAAGGACTCAGTTTGCCAACATGGCATAAAATAGTGTGAGAAACTTTAAATGACACTAAATAGTATTGAGCTGATGCACAACTTTTCTAGGTTCGTAAGTTAGTCCTATGGTGGAAGCAAGTCTATCTTTATTAAGCTTTAGGGGTAGCTAATGGTAGGACTTGACTGAAATGTTAACAAAGGTTGAGTCAGTTTACATAAACTGAAATTAGGGTTATAACTGAGATTCACCCCCAAGTTCAAGGACTAGTAATCTATTCTATACAATATTTGTGTGTGACCTAGTTGTATTTTGTGATTTGGAGCTATTTCCTTGGGGGAAATTAAAAAGGCTTTAGAAGATTTCTCTCAGTAAGGATAAGTTGATAGAAATAATCAAATAAGTGTGATGCACCGTAGTCACTTGTAAGTCAAAGGTGTTTTTTTTCCCCCTAGATGTGATAGGTTCCACTTCTAACACTTTTTCTTTCTTTTATCTTTCAATAATACTAATAGTTGTTGTTGCTTCCACTTGACTCGTGAGACACAATGACAAGTACAGCTGCTGTGGCATTCCCCCATTGAAGTTGGCGGTAGTCATAAAGGTAACATTTTCTACTTCCATCGACATTGGTTGCGATCTCCACTAGCACCGGTTGTAGTGGCTGAATATTCTTGACCGCTGTATAGCTGACTAAACAATCAACGGCATGTAGGTTATTCTTTTGACGGTTACTTTCTTATAGAATATAGTTGCTTTAGACGATGCATATTGCTGTCCAGAAAATGTGTATTGCAGTTTAGAAAATGTCGAGGCTCTTGTGACCAAAATATGCTGCAAAAAATTCTGGATATCATTCATCACATCTTTATGAATGCTTTCTCTATTTTTCTTGATGGAGATATGTGAAGTTTGACTACATTATTGACTGATAGTGACATATAGTGGGTACATCAGTGTGCAATATGGAGAAATAAATTTACCATAGAAGAAATATTTTTCCATGAATATACTATCTCTGTTTTATTTACAGTCTCATTTCTTCTCATCTGTCATGGTCTTGTTCTCTTGATTAGTTCCGCTCCTAATTGCAACAACAGGATGATTTCTATTACCTATGGAAATTGGCTGCTGGCTCCATTGGTGGTGCTTCTGCCGTCAAGTATGGAAGCGTTCTTTTCCCGGATATAACACGGCCCAACATAGTGCAAGCTCTTTTGATGATATCACTGCCTGTTCTTGTTGCTATTCTGATTTTAATCAAGGAAAGCAGCAAGGATGTCCAAGATGAAGAGCTACTTTAAAATACCGATCCATTCTCTGCTGGGATAACATGACAACATCTGCTGTGTGCAACAACAGAGATTGATGACACCAGTTTCTTGTAACTGAAACATGACCTGATTCTCCTTTTTCATCATCATTCAGTTTTTCTTGAATCTCATTTTTGAGCAAATTTTGTGAAAGAGCAATTAGAAATTCGATACAGCTCAAAGACAGGTATGCCTGAGTACCCGAAAAAATCCGATCTGTTATCAAGGAAAGAAAATCCTAGTTGAGAAATTTTTTGATACCTCTCATGCTCATCAGCCTTTGTCAGTGTCCTCCAAAAACTTGCTTAGATGTTCTGCTTGTGTGTGAGGTGATGATGGAAAACTATGGCTATTTTTCCAGAAATACTAAACTTACAGACAATGCTTACATTTGAGCATAACTCAGAATCTGGACCAGTTCCACCAGGAAAAGAGAGAACAACCCTATGGTACAATGAATGATACAGGACCAACAAATACCTTCACACAGCCCTGGAAACAAACCCAGCTCACTTGTCGTCTACCTGATAACTTGAGGTTAAAGACTTAAACTTATAGTCAGACAAACACAGACACAGACACAAAAGGAGTACAAATTTTGCATGAAAAGGAGAACAGTTGGGAAATGTGAGAAGAAGAAACGAATCACACAGAGGAGACTGGGAACAAAAACCCCCATCGCACTTTGCCACCATTCTCTTTAAACAGGGTTTGCACTGGGCAACTGGAACCGCTTTTCTTCAGCGGTAGCTGTTCATGGATCGGCTGTTATACCGGTCGTGAGAAGGAGGTCAGGGAGAAGGAGGAAGTCAGGGAATCGGAGATTTGCGATAGAGGCCCTTGTTGTTCCGTCAGCTGATGTATGTCCTTGACGATGTCGAAAACTGCATCTGGCTGTGCCAGTTTCAGCGCATTCTGGGACATCTTCTTCAGCACTTCTGGTTCAGGGCCGAACCAGCGAGCAACAAGGCTGGCCGTCTGCTTTGAGCTCTTGGAGAACACTCCGGCTCCGTTGTCGACAACGTATGGCACATTGCCCACCTCCTGCAACACACGTAAGAGCACTTCTAGTGCACCCTTTGACAGTTGAAACAAGGAAGATATGGTCTCTTAAATCCCAAAACTACGTCTCTCCCTCCTCTACCGATCATGAGGACAAGGATTGAATGCATGAGTGCTTGTTCTTGTGATTGCATCAGTCGAAAAAATGAGATGGTGTTTGTGCGTGCCATCAGTGGGATGTGCGAACAAACCTAACCTGTCCAGGAATGAAGTCATTTAGGATGATGGGAAGCCCCCTTATCAGAGCCTCGGCAATCGTCCCAGGTCCAGCCTGATGAGAGAAAGAATCAGCACCACATAAAGCATGATTACCAGAAGAAATCAAGTAAGACTAAGAAGATCATTACACCTTTGTTATGATGCAATCACAAGCTCCCATCCATTTCTCCATTTGAGTTTCGAACCCCCTTATCTGTCATCACCGATCGGTTGGTTCTAAGCAGACGTCCCAGGAAACAAAGATTACAGAGCAGAGGTTTCAAGTTTCAGTACCTTCACAGGGATCTTCCACTGAACATCCTGTAGCGCAGAGCTTAGGGTTCGATTACGGCCACAGATGACCACAAGTTGGCCGATGGGTTTGCCGAGCTCCTTGTCAAACAGTGACTCACCAAGGGCCTTGGCAGTCTTCTTCACTGGACCCATCCCCTCACCTCCTCCCATGAGTAGCACCGCAGGGAGCTCAGAATCCATCTCAAGCTCTTTTCTCAGCTCAGCCTGTTGGGTGGTAACAAATACATCTAAATTTCCATGTACAGAAGAAATTACCATCTAAATTTCCACGCATTAAAACCTTGACGAGGACTGCACGACAGAAGGAAGGCCTGATGGGCAAACCAAACACACGGATCTGCGAAGGCTCGAGTCCATCCAACGAAGCCCTCTGTGCTACTTCCTCAGAGGGGCAGTAGCATCTGCTGACATCAGTGTGGAACCTGAAGCAGATGGGAGTGGTTCCGTCAATTCAAAGTCATGGCGGCACAGAAAGAAGATGGCAAGAGGAGTCGCATGCACCATGTAGGGTGGCAGGTGTTGAGGTCCGTGATGACAGTGACGAAAACAACCCTCTTCTGAAGGTTCTGCCATTTCAGCACCCACAGAGGAATGTGCTGCATGAGGGGATGAACACTGATGATGATATCTGGCTTATACTTCTTCAGACCAGCCTCCACCTTCCTTCAGTCATCAACAATGCATGATTTAGAAGGATCAGTACAAAAGAACACGGAAATCCTGTTCCTGAAACTGACACCCCTAATCGATGAACCGAAGGTAGACATGTTCTCGAGTGTCCGTGGTTGCTTCGTTCAAGAAGGGAAAGGGGGAGGATACAGAAACGATCCGTACTTGGCATAGAAGGCTGCAATGGCGGCAAGATAGACGTTGTGGATCCAGCGAGGAGAGGTGCCATGAAATGCGACTCTCCACAGCTGCACATGCTTCACCATGAATTTGTAGGACCTCTCCATGTCGTTCAGCGGCCAACCCGCGTGTTCCATGAACAAATCCTTCACAAACACCTGTACGTGAAGAGAAGAAACATGCAGAATACATGAATCAGGATCGTCTCTCTGATGAATTCTTGATCCTTTCCTATATGTTTCGATCTAAAAAAGCATTAAAGATAAGAAATTAAACAAAATAAAGAAGAAAAAGCAATCGATGAGGGATGATTAGCAAGAAATGTCGAAAAAATTAGACCTTTCGATTGCAGAAAATGACACAATTAATCATCCAAGAAGAAGCCATACTTTGCCACAGATTCTTAATAGGCTAAAAGTGAGATCTTGGGCGAAAACCTGTTCACCAAACAGAGGAAAGGGGGCACGAGAACGAGCGATATACCCACCTTATACTCGTCGCCGAATTCAATGCGGAAGGCATCACGAATCGCCTCAGCGGAGGCCCGATGCCCGCCGCCGGTGTCGCTCATCAGGATGAGCACGTTCTTGGTCCGCTCAGCCCCGATCTGGGTCATCTCCATGGTGCCTTCCTCCTCCTCCCAGAACCCGATGTCGTCGTCGTCCCCGACGCCCTGCGCCGAGGCGCCGGACGAGAGTCTCTTCCTCTTCCGCGTCAGCAGCTGCTGGCTGTGATGGGCCAGCACGGTCTGCATCACCACCTCCCGTATCGACTTTCTCGGCGACACCACCGGCGCCGCCATGGCTTCCCGCACCGCCGCCTATGTCGGGTGGTGGTGGTGCGGAAGAAGGGTAGGACAACGATCGGAGAGATCCGCCGCCACCGCCACCGCGAGTTGGGTTGCCGGATACGTGGACGGAGGCGGGAAAACACCAAAGGGAGGGTGCTATTTATAGAATGGCATACGTTTGGATCAACGGTTGCGAATGGGACGTTGAAGAGAGAGGAGACGAGAGAGAAGGGACGGCTAAGCTGGCTTTCCGAAGGCCATACTATTCTTAGAGAGAGGACTTGGTCGGGGAATGCCAAACTGTTTCTTTCCATAGAGACAAGCTTTGTTCTACTTGATCACAATGTTTTGGTCTCTTATCTTTTGTTGTGGGAGAAAGGAAGGCAATTTGATGTTCTTATCTTTTATTATGGGAGAAAGTAAACAATTGTTCAATTATCCTTGAAATTTTTTGAATTATATTAAATCAAATTATAAGATGATCATGAAAATCTTTATTTTTTCTGGTTGGAAAAATGACGAAAAAATTTCAAATATCCATTAAATCTATATGTCATATGATGTTTATAAATAAAATTAAGCGAAGCTCTGATATCAATTATCATGATGCACGAAACATTTGGCTTACTAATTTAGTTAAATATAAAATATTAACTCAAGAAATTTAAATTTAAATTAATATTAGTACATTCATCAACCTTTTATATAATAAAATGGGAGTATTTCATCTTCGATTATCAAAATATGAACATTAAATTTTAATTTCTTGGTAATTTAGTTCTTGATAAAACTTAGTGTAGTCCTTTGGAGATTGGATGTGTAATAATAAAAATAATAATAGTGGTGGAGGTAAGAAGAGAGTCGATACAATGATATTAAAAATATATATATCCAGTGCATAAGGTTATTTAAATATTTAGGGGGGATCAATATGTATAGTGTTATATTTAAATATTTAGTGAGGTTATTTATATGATTCAAATCTTGATTTTTCATATTGTAAGGGAGCAATCTTATCATCATACAAAAGCTCACCCTCTAAAAAGGCTTACCTAATACACAAGACTTCCACCAATATTACGTTTGAGAAGGATTAATGTATACAATCTTACCTTTAAACATTAAAAGGGATAGTCTTTGTGAAAAAAAATATATCTAGTGGATAAGGCTCTTGATTAATGTATGTAGTCTTACTTTTAAATATTTAAGGAGATAGGAGATGATATATGATAACTAATAATAATAGTGATCACGATGGGAATAAAAAAGGTATGGTCAATGATAACATGATGAATGCATTTTTGGTGATATTGGAGGCAATGGTAATAATGATAACTATCAAGATATAGAAGTAATAATAATAGCAAATATGATGATAATTATGGGGATATTGTAGTGATTGTGGTGAAAAATAATGGTCAATGATGAGGATATTATTAGTAACAATGGTGAAGAAAATAGTAGTAGGATAGCATAAAAGTATAAAAGTCATGATTATGTTGTTGTTATGTAGAAAATTTGAATATCATTAATTGAAATCAAATAACAATATATTAAATATATGGTACATATATTTTGATGCTACTCAAAAAGCCTTTATTTGATCACCATGTGTGTAATCATCGGATTCGAAGATTGTAATGATGTCGATATGTAAGGAAAATTATACTCATTTTTTCCTCTTTTCTTATTTTTTAGAAAACCATCATGAGTGATGGATTAGGGATAAAGTGAAGATGAGAGAAGATATGTAATCTCTAAATGATAGATTATTTCATTTCTAAGAGATCCTATCCAGAATTGGTATATACAAGTCAAAAAATTTTAATTTTTGAATGACAAAACTATAATGTTGTTTGAGATATATAACAAAAAAAAATTATATCATAATGGGTAGAACTATCAAAAGCACATAAGTTGAAATTAAAGGTAAAACTATGATTTACATAAATGAAACTCAAATACTCATAGCCACCCTCATAGTTGTCATTATATTTCACGTGCTCATGCACGTGGGTCAACGATGCAATGGTCGTTCGTCGCTTGTGCGCCACCCACGATGGCATGCCTACCCACGATGGCATGCCTCTTCTCACATGGTTGACCTGTGTATCATATTATTGTGTTCCTCACTAGTGGAACACCTCCGTGATATGCCATTGACTGAGCATCACCGACGGATCATCCCATTGTACGATCGTGCACATGTGTCGATTGGCAACCCCACGATTGTCACGATGCACGATTGTACCCACATATCCACTATGCAACTGCTAGGGACCACGACCTTTGACATCCAGTTGATGTTGATCACAGCCAGTAAATGCTGTAACGACATTGCTATAAATGCCGTAGCCGTCGCAAGTAGTAATGTTACTGTAGTCACCATAGGCAACAGTGCTAATGTTGTCGCTTGCAAAAGGCAGTCCGACCACTATAAGGCTATTGCACACAAGTAGCCATGCATATAACTGTCACTAGCTATCGCACCATACGATGCTTTCATTGTGTACACAGTTGTTACCCGTAATTGGGTTGGCAACATCGAATATCATTGTCCTAAATAATACTGTTGTGGATAATAAGCTATCGATAATGGCCCATCGATCAAACATGAGAAACCTTGCATTGCTCACAAGCAAACAATAGAACGGATGAGATAATAATACAAAATCTAAATATAATAACATTTTTTCGCAAGCGAAGGATATTAACAAATATATCTAAATTCAAAATAGATCTAAAATATTTTTATGATCTAAAGTACTTAATTTTAAAATATGGTTTTGCTACTATTTTATGAAAAACTTTAATGTCTAAAACTAAAATCAAATGACAATAGATCGAATATACAATATATGTCTTTCGATATTACTTAGAAAGTCTTTATTCGATCTATAAGTATTTTATTGTCAGATCCAAAAGCTGCAGCAATAGTGATCTATAAGAAAAACTAAACTTATATTCTTATCTTTTTTTATCATTCACATGGTTACTATCAGGATCAAAGATAAAGTGGAGATGAGAGAAGATCTATAATCTCTCAATGATGGATTATTTCATCCCTAAGAGGTTTTGTCCTCTTATAGATGAGAATGGTCTATAATAGTAATTAGAATAATCCTTTCCATTAAGATCATCTCTTAAAAATTTTTATCATAATTGATCTTTTTTTATTAATCGATAATTATAATAAGAACCTAATTATATATAATATATCTTATTAAATTAAATATAGCCACATAATTTAACAGATAGTTATTGAATGGGAGTTTCATTATCTGCATCTGAAAACATATATAAAAGTCGTTAACATTGTGCTGTAAATGCATATATGTTGCACATATATGATGATTAAGTGTGTCCTATGTGAGATTGGAGGTCATATTTCCAATGAACCTTATAATTCTCAAAGTAGGTTGATCAAAGGTCTTCCAACAGCAGTTGGAACCTAAACATATATTAGTAAGCAGAGGTTTCCGACTTTCGAACTAATATTCAACATGATGGATCAATTGTTTGAAGTATGGGTTCTATCATTGTCAAGGATCACTAAACACAACTACCAAGAATTTTTTGGTGCAAAAGAAATGCTTAGTAGTACCTGAATCAGATCCTTCCTTCCCTCGGCAGCTGACCAATTTTTTGGACCTCAATCGATCTGACATTGTGATGATTACTGTTGTTTATTTCTAATTAATTCTTTTCTGTACAAAATTAAGTTAAGATGGCTACATTTGGTAGGAGTTGGTGGTGGATGGGATGACATGAGCATGACTCAACCAAAGAGACAAATATTAGGTGCCTCAATAGCTGCATTAAAAAGCATATCAAAGAACCTACTAAAACAAATAATAATGCCTCATTCAGATGCAACAAATGAGCCATTTGGATAAGCTCTTTAGGTCGATCGAATAGTCCTTACAGACTTGTAGGATTAATGTAGTCTATGTAAATAGCAGATTTTACTCATAATATCAACAAATGAAGATGCACTGTTCCTCCCCATTGCCTATACGAATCACCCAATGGAAGATTGTTATCCTCTCCTGCCTTTTCTAATATATCTTATTTTATTTTTGATTCTAAACGTGTTATATATTTTTCTTTACGACGAAGATTTTTATGATCAGTGATCAATCTGATTCTTCAAAAAGTCCGGTATGTGATATATCAAGTTATTAGACAGTCTTATGTATATTTATTTAGAACTGCAATCAAGAAACTTACAAGAACATTGTATTAGATAACATTTCATGCTGTTTCCTTGCTGCTTTTAGCCTCAGAAACAAGTGAGATAATATGCAAATATATGTTATGGTCTCACCATCTATATTTAATTTGTAATGATAACCTATACTAACCCAATTAACTGTAGTGTTAGATGTTGTTTACCTATGAGTGACATCCACCATCTTGACAGACTTAATCTGCACTCAAAAGAATTTTTGACCTTTCATTTTGTGGAGTAAATCCACCATGAATTTTTCTGACATGTGCAGTCATCATCACTCATGTAATTAATGCAATGTTTCTGTATCTACAATATTTATGATCATGATAATTTCTTACAAATTTTGTTTTCAGTAAGTTTATAGTATGATGAATATATTATTAAAGCTGAAATATAAGGAGGCTAATGGGTCTTTTCACTTGGAAGATCTAACCAAAGACTAATGGATCTTCTTCTCCATCAACTATTGACAGCAGCAATCCCGAATCTGCCTTTTCCTACAGCTAAGACAGTTCTGAACATATTGTCCTCTAAATTCTGCTGTAAGAAAGACCCAGTCACAGTCTCAGTCATCCATCTCCATGGGAGGAGGAAGGAGGATTCCATTCTGCCCAGTGACAGGACAGGCTTTACTTGTCATAGTGCCTTGATGTTAAACTGCACCTCTTACTTAGTCCTTCCTCTGGTAACACATACTGGATGCTACTGTTGTCTTGGTGCTGCCCATTGCTTCAAGAGAAAAAAGCTCAATGGTAAGTGGGTTATCAACTTCAGTAGTGGAAGTGTGATAATAATTTCTACTGATGTCTCTGTTTTCTAATCCATGATGCAGCCATTCACAGTGAAGATGTATGGTTTACTCTTCAAAACAGAGGTGTAGTAGGTCTGTGTAAAAGATCAAAAGGGCAATGATTGCTTTGCAAGTGAGCATCCAAATCTACCCCATATATGACCACAAACATCTCTACGAAAGTTCGTGATGAAGAAGAAGCAGAGAGAGCGTTGAGTGCAGCAATCCGTATGGGCACCACCCACCTCATCTTGCCTCCCCTCAACAACTGCGTCCTTCATTGCCGCAAAGACCACAAACCAAAGAAGCAATATTGAAGCCACCAACTTCGATGAACCACCTTTCCTCTTCCAAGCACCTCTCGCCTCCGTTCATATACGACACCAACCATCACAGATCTCATCCGAGGTTGAAGCCATGGACTGGTACTCCTGGCTGTCCGAATCTAGCCTCGATCCGGGCCTCGTCTCCGAGTACGCTCTTCTCTTCTCCAACAACGAGCTCGTTGAGGATGACATCGCCCACTTCAATCACGAGTTTTTGCTGAGCATGGGCGTCTCCATCGGCAAGCACCGGCTTGAGATACTCAAGCTAGCCAAGAAGGGCATGTACAGGTCGCCGCGCTCGGTGGCGAGGCTCCTCGCTGCCATCAGCATGACCAGGAGCTGCATAGCCAAGTACGTCCGCTCCCTCGTTCGGCGGAACAGTTCCGCCATCGTCGTCGTCCCCAGGCCTTCGTACAACGGCGGAGCGGCGCCCAGGGGGAACATGTTGAAGAGGAACAAGAAGCTGGTAAAAAGCAAGCAAAGAGAACTGCTGCTAACTGACGGTGGCGTAAAGGTGCCTTCTCCGGTGAGGGTGTCACGTAGCGCGAGTCCGATGATCGACAGGTACAAGGAGGGTGCTGAGGAGATCAGGTGGGACTCCATGTTTCAGGACCTGAAGCCCACTTGATTCCCATGCTGCACAAGGCTTTCATGTGTCATTGGCTATTCATGTTGGGAGGTGGTAGTGGTTCAATAGTCTGTTCTTCTTCACTGTAGCTGCTGTTGGAATTATGGTGTAAATAGGAAAGGAAAAGGCTAAAGCTGAATTGAAAACTAGTAGAGATTTTTCATTTTTTTACTTCCTCTTGGAGAGAAGGAAATGATTGGAGGTTAGCTATGCAATGCATGTATCTATGAAAATTTTAATCTATTTTCATAAATATAAGCTCTTACAAGCTTGCTGAAATCACCTACCTCAAGATGCAATTGTTTTCTTGGGAAGAAAAGCTTTCATGGCTGCATTCAATAATTAATGCATTGAGTTGGCTTGATACTGTCAACATCTCATAATTTAAGACTGAAGGTTCTCCTAGATTATAAACCATCAAACATAAAAATACATGGAATGAAAATAGTAAAGAAAAAATCTATACCTTGTGAACAGATTCTGCATTTGATGGAACAGCAGTCCACTAATTTCAGCCTGGCAAATTTCCCAGTCTTCTGGCCATTCAACATTCCAAGAAGCTCCACAGGAGGACTGTACTGTGATGTTGTTGGCCTGTCGATGATCAGAACCCCACAATGGGCTGTCCTTTTACCTCTGAGTTAAAAGGTTCCATGTGCCTGCCTGCCTGCCCACATGAAAAGGCATGCATTTGGTACTATTGCATATAATCTGATATATTATGACTTGCATTTAATAATTGCCATTAAGACAAACCCATCAAAAGGGGTAGCAGCACTCTTAACCATTGCATTTAATCTGATAAATTATGACTTGCATTCAATAATTGCCATTAAGACTAACCCATCACAAGGGGTAGCGGCACTCTCACCATGCCGATCTACAGATGATCTTTGCCTTTGCTGTACACTGACTTGGTCTTCAGGCTACTGTCCACACTGAGAAATTTGGTGGCTGATGATTCTGCCGTTTCATCTTTCTTGTGCAGTTGAGGTGCTGAGTGAAATCATGAAGGATCATGATGTTGATCGAAGCCATCGACGAATAACATCATATGAAACCTACAAGAATTCAAAGTACACCATCTTCTTGTTAGAAGAGTTGGAAAAGAACAAAAGTTTGTGGATCTGTCAAATGAGAAAACCAAGCACAATCATACATGTAGAAGCCACCAATGCCATCTCCACAGAAGACTTCACCTGGAACTTCAAAAGCCATGCATGTCAAGACTGATAAGCAGAGATCAACCACAAGAACTGATCACACAGTTACAGTCTCGTAGAAATGTGAAAAATTAACTTTGGTGCTCTTCAAAATCATATAATTAATCTATTTTGTAATTAAAAATCTGTCACTTCCAAGGAGTCACTTGCACCAACCGGGCATGGATGATACATATCTAGCTAGCACTTGGAAGACTAGTCACAGACAGAACATTGTCAACAAACAACTCTGGAAAAGAGGGAAAAAGCAAATTCTAAAACATGATCAAACTCTGCAAAGGACCTTACCTTACACATCAGAATTGCTAGTTCTGCACACCATGATTTACCAAATGAAGTACAAATTATCTTCAACTACACTGCTCACGGCAGCAGCACTTCAATTGAGTTGTCGCAGAGAATTGAGCTGGCATAGGACTGCTAAGCCAAGAGCTTAAACTCATTAATGTGTTTCTCTACATGGTGAAAATACTAAAATTATAGGTGCTCATGGATGTCGCAAAATCTTTTTTCTCTAATCTTTCTATAATCCTTTACATCTAAAATTCAAGATCCTCAAATCAGTACAACTAATATTTCTAAAAAGTATAATAGTATTTTCGCCTACTATTGGCATATAATTTATTAAACAAGCAGCCAAGACCCAAGAATGACAAGTTGCAGATAAGCTCTTCATAGCTACATACAGCATAGAGTGTACGAACAACATCACTAAGACATAACTAAGACAACAATATATTTTCTAAAACAGAGTACACACTGATGCTGACCATGTTGATCCATTATCAATGCAGTGAACTTCGAGGCATTCTAAAGGATCCACCGGCATAAAGCATCTGGTATACTGGTCTGATTCTCACCGACAAAATTATGCTCAACAATGTTCCCAAACTACACATCCCAGCAAGAACCAAGAATGTCAACCTAAAGCAGCTAGGCCCCAAGCAAGTGCTAGAAACAGGGTGTTGATTTGCAGCTTCTTTGTCATAAACATATCCAGCAAGAAGACCTGAGAAGAAGAATGCCCCAAGAGGATTTCCTAACAACATAAAGTTGTAGAAAATTCCAAAGTGCTTTAACCCAAAGAGCTCAGAAACAGTTGGCACCATGACAGAAAATTGAACCCCATAACAGATACCAAGCAAAGCAGTTGATGCATAAAGGGTACCATTGAGAGCTGAAGCATAGAGAAGGTATGCCACAATCATGACTACTTGCGTGCATGCCATCCATATTGGTCGAGGAAGCATTCTCGATCTGTGAAAAAAATGCAATTACGGTCAGTTCTTGGTGCTTTTCTGTCCTAAATACTTTTTCAGAATGATAATCCAATAACATAAAAATAAGGAAACTGACACAACCTGACAAAGTACTCAGATACTGAACCTCCACCAATACGGCCAACAAAATTGCAAAAGCTGAAGAGGCATAGCAAGATAGTTGTATCATCGAGTCCTAATGCAACCCCAATTTGGGCTAGATTATTAAGCACTGTGACACCTGATCCAACGCCAAGAAAGTATGCCATAAATAGAAGCCAAAAGTCAGCTTTGATCAATGCTTCCCGAAATTCGAAATCATCTCCCCTCTTGGGTCTTCTCTTCTTTTTTACTGCACCTTCACCCTCAGCTAAAAGCATATCCACATCAGAAGCATCATCAATCTCCTGGGGGTTCTCCAAATTATTTGTTGATGATGTAGCTAATAATGATTCTTTATGGTCTAAATCCTCCGCAGGTAGTCGTGAAGTACTACATGTGTTGCTGGCAACATTTTTCTTATGAGTAGCTGGAAAGAGTGTCATCTTAAGTGGGATGGCAAGGGGAGCCAGGAGAAAGAGAATCATTATGCCGAACAACAAATAGATAATAGCATCACTTAGTGAGAGAACATCATCCAAGATTGTAGAAGCAAGAAGATAGAGACCCAGAAATACACTGGAAATTTGGGTGAACATAAAGTGGCCATGTTCCAATGAATCTTCTTCCAAAGATGGTGTGCAAGGCCTAACAAAGTACATCATTGCAAGGCTTATGACAGGCAACCCAAGAGTGAGAAACAGCAATAACTTTGTCGATGAGCTATGGAGTACACCCGTGTATAATCCAGTGTATACTGCAGCACTAAGCCCAACATAACCCTTGAGAATGCCAGCAACAGTACCTCTACTAAGAGGGAAATTTCTCATGTTGGTGACTAGCACACCCGTCCCGAACCAGGCGCTGCTATTAGTAGCAATGCATAGTGCTATCCATAACTGAAAGAATAACGTGATAAGATTTAGAGGAAGTGAGAAACAAATTTTTAGAGACAGTTGTTCAAAATAAATGAGATGAAGACAATGGCCACAGCTAAGTTAATAGAGTCAACTAGCTAAGTTAATAATAGCAAATTGGCAATCTTATCACATGTTGCCTGAGAAGAATAGAGCTCCAAGTTTGCCATCACAGGTTCTTTAAATTGTGGAAACACTCATTTTAAACATTTAAATGTATTGTTCCCAGTGTTACCTTATGGACTAAACACATAAATATAGATTTATCATTCTGTTAAGCTGTCAAATTTAAGATTCCAATGTTTTAGATTCTGAAATACTGCAAACTTTTTTCCTCGATTATACATATATAACTGCAAATAAAAAGTTTTCTGATGGAATTGTTTAAAAATTTAGATTACAGACATAATCTATCAAATCTAGATGAACCACACTTCCATACACTCAACTGAACATCTTATGCCTCGGCATCCTTCAACACAAACATCATCCACCAAAAGGAAACTTGGACAATGAATGCTGGTAGAGAGCAATTCAAGAGCGAGAGAGAGAAAGAGGAAGATCAGCTAGACCAATTTCTTTCTACACAACGGGCATTAGGATATCATTCTGGTATTTAGTTTTCTTTATTTTTAAATCCTTAACAGGTGTTATCAGCCCTACTTCTGATCACGTATCTTTAATGAAGTAAAAATTTGCATAAACTTCATTTTCTCTAGGCCAGCCATTCCACTGATTAAGTATCTTGGAACAATAAAAAAAGGTACAGTAACTTTTCTGTAGGTGCCCTGGCCTCTCCTTTAACACCTAGCTTTCCATCTATTACTCTTTTCTTATTTCTTTCCTTCTTCTCTTCTTTAAATTCCCCTATTTCTTTCTTCTAAAAACAAGACAGCAGTAGCTTCTTTCAGTCTCTATAAATATAACACTCTCATATCAGCCTTTGCACCTGCTGAAAAATCAAATACTGCAACCATTTACTGTTGTGCACTATAACAAAACAGTATGTTGCACACAGAACAGTGGATCTAACTCAGATGTGTCCTAGATGCTATATGGCACCTCTTGATTTGCCTACAACAATCTACTGTTGCATCAAAAGAAAATAGCAAAATAACAAAGCTTTATAAGAAATAAAAGATGAGATTCAAAAAGATTACAGGTTCTCCACTAGAAATATGGATCTCCCCTCATCACTTGAAGTTCAAGTACACAAAATTGCAGACAGAATATCGAAGGCCACCAAGAATGTCGCATCAAAGCATATGTCAAACCAGATCAAACAGAAGTTTCATAACCATCCTAATAGAAAGAATATCAAACAGAAATCTGCTCATACATGGTCACTAGCTAGTAAACAATGCCCTTCCCATATATTTAAATGACCATTTAGTAGTCACTTACATTACCTGCCATGCTGCAGGTTCAGGAAGATTATTAAGAAGTTCTAGCCTTCCAGTAATTTGGGTGCGCACTGCCTCCTCTTGTCAGATCTAAATGTAGTCTGAATTGAAATGGAAAATTCTTAAAAGCTTTAGAAGAGCAAGCTTGCACATATATACATGTAACCACTTTTTCCTTGTCATGACACAATACCAGATAGACTATCGTTCCACTAGTTATATAGTCTTGCTGAAATTGAAATTATTCATCATTGTTGTGTAAGAACATTGATTGTTCCATGAACTAAACATGAGTTATATTATGAACCCCAACTTGTTCATAGCCCAATTCCAGATCCTCGGACAGACAAAACTACCAGTATGAAAGGGTGTAGCCCACTGCAAGCTACACAACATCATGTACCTGGGGACCTTATTTTGGCCGTCCTCCCAGTAGTAGTTAATTTCCTACAAAGTACACCATTCATTCCTCATTGTTTTAAAGATCTGAACATTTGACAAAGGAAATATACTCAAATTTCCTGTTCTATTTCCAAGAATGTAGAGAAAATAAAAATTAAATGCTACTTAGACAAATTGTTTCAATTATTCCTATCGACATGAAGCCTAACATGTATACACTCGGTGGTGTCCAACGTCAATCCTCGACAGTCTCCTATTTACATGAAATAGGTGGGAACTTAATCTATATGGAGCCAGAAATTGGATCTCTATCGAAAAGGGAAAGGCACAATCCGATTGGAAGAGGCTTAAGCAAGACTGGGGCTAACGGCATCAGAGAACTGGTTTTCTATGGCAACGAATTAGAATCATGAGCAGCTTTCTTTCTTGTTTTGTTTTCTTTATCTTGTTTTTGTCGCCGTCTTGAATCGGCAGATGCAGGCGACTACCCATCCAAGAGGATCATCTGCCTCGGTCCAATAACTCCAAATCCAGCATATTCCAGATCCAATTGACGGAGATGCGATCAAAGCTTCGGCAGAGAAGGAGAGGAGAGGAAAAGGGGAGATTACCAGCCAGTAGGGGAGGCCGGGAACGGTGACGCTGACTGCGAGCCAGAGGGTGCCGAAGCCAAGGAAGCAGCAGGCGGCGCCGACGAGGAGAACGAACCAGGGAGGGAGGCGGTTGCAGAGCACGCCGGCGAGGAGGCCGAAGTTCTCGCCGGTGTCGTTGGCGACGCCGAGCATGGTGAGTTGCTGCTGGTTGTAGCCCAGCGCCGACTTGAGGGAGTGGGAGTAAAGCGGGAAGGTGTAAGCGGTGCCCGCGGCCACCTGAACCCACACCGCCGCCGCCAGCCCCACCCACGGCGGCCGGCTCCCCGCCTTCACCGCTCCGGCCATCACTCTCCTACAGCTACCTCTCTTTCCCCTTCCTCTCCTACAGGTGGTTAGATATAGTGACTGTGCGTCGATCAATCGACACGCTCAAAGGGCATAGGGGAAACACGACCAAACCACCGCTTAATACATGCGACGAGGTATTCCCGACAAAATAATAAAAACAGAGGAATAAGTCTTTATTAATATAATTAAATATTAAATATGATTGCCCTCGAAATAAATTTTTTTTATTTTCAATAAGTATTCATAAAATCTTAATATACTCGTCGAGCCTAATTATTAAGATAATTCATCTTAAATTTGAGAAGTAATTATATATTATCGAACGTAGTTAGTTATTTTTATCGTCTCGATCTTTATATTTTTAAGAATTATATTAAAATTTTTATGCTTATAAAAATAAAATATTTAATTTTTTTTACTAATAGAAATACTCACAAACGAAAAATAATACTAAAATAGGGTTAAAAAATAATTTTATAGTACTATTCTCACCAAAATTAATTTCTCCTTCTATAATTTCTATGAAAGTAACAATCAAGAAACCAATAATTCTATATCAATCGACATACGAGGAGGTAGGACCACAAGAGGAAGATACTTTCTATCTCGTGCTTCAGACAAAATCTCTTAATACATAAAGAGAAAAAATAAAATAATTGAATAGCACTATCTCACTTTTTTTTTCAATAAAATATTTTTTCTTAATTTTTATCGTTTGGATGGTGAGAATACTACTATAAAATTATTTTTTAATTTTATTTTAGTATATTTTTATACGTGATAGTATGCGCGATATTTTCGCAAACAGAATCGATAGCGTGAGAAGAAACATAATTAAATATTTTATTTTTTAAATATAAATTTTAAAAATATAAAAATCAGAATGTTAAAGATAATGAGCTAATCTATAATTAATCCTAAATTCGATTGGGGCTCAAACTCGATTTGAGACCGAGTAAATTTTAAATATAATTCAAAGTCGACTACACTTAGTTTGCATAAAATATGATCAATGTTAATGTGGTCCATCGGTGACATGGATGTGTAGCCGACCTTATAATTAGTCCACTGCACTTACTAGCGGAAAGAACAGACAACTTATCTCAATTGAAATAAGTGACCCATGTAACCTTCTTATGGGTTGTCATCGCCATGTTGTACAAATGTACACCACATTGAAGAACACAAGTCCAATTAAAATGTGAAGGTATTAATGAGAGGTCAGATTAGGATATTTTCTATAATTGTTGTTCTTTATGATCGACTCTTAAATTCGGCTACACCCAACTCCTCCACTCTTCCAATATCATTAGCTTTTAATCTATTTATTAGTGTATTCTTTTTCAATTCTTTATGTTTACTACCATATATGTTTAAAATATAAATAATTGGCTCTAAATGCCAAAGAGGTGAATGTAATTATTAATAGAAAATAAGTAGTTGGAGTGTTTATCTTAAGAAGAAGCATTTTGACAATTAACAAATAGTTTCAAGTCATTATGGAAATATTAGTTTATTAGGATATTAGTTTAGTGTAAACATGAGAGAATTAGCAAATTTTAATTTTTGACATTTAACAACCTTCAATATATCCTAAAAAGTGGAGTTTATATTGGCTTTTATACGAAAAATGACAGAAAAAAGGGATAACAACACGAATAATACCTTAATTTCATTCAACTCAAAGCCAAATCGACTAATTACTTAGATACAAACATGACTTCAAAATCTACTTTTTAACTGAGATCATTCGGAAAACAATGCTTGGATCTACTTCGATATCTAATTCCTAGACCTTATTAAAACATAGTTTCACCTAATTTATTTGAATCTGAATATAACTCAAATATCTATTTTCCTATTCAAATTCATATCAAATCCCATTAAAATATGTTTTGCTCAATTTAATCCTCCGCAAGCAATTAGAAACAAGTAAGATTGAACATAAAAGGTTTATCTCTCTCTCTCTCTCTCTCGTATACCCCTAATATTGTACTAAAATAGGAAAACTTTGACTTGAATATCTTTTATGAAGTATGCATATATATATATATACCCCTAATAAGTTGCACAAGAATAGGAAAGCTTTGACAATAATATCTTTGCAAGGATGGTAGCAGAAGTCAAGTCGCTTGGATCACTTTGTTGACGGCATCAAATGATACAAATTGCATTAACACGTAGGAAGCGACACATAGAAGAGAGAACCGCAATAAACAAACGCAGGACCGGAGATTTCGGACATCCACACTAAAACATCCCATTGAATCCAATTCGATCCATAATGTCATAAATATTTTTTTATAAAAAATTATAAAAATAAAATATTTGAGTTCATAATCAAATCCTTATCAGCTAAATTATGTGACATCTTTTACATACTCCACAATGAATATTCATCTTTTGGGATGAATATGGATTGGGGAACCATTGGTATTCATTAGAAAATATATTTTTTCGCAAGAAGCCTAAGTCGGTGGTTATATATATTAATATTAGATTTATATTTTTATATTAAAAATAATAAACTATAAATTGAATAATAGTGAGAAAAGGAATCTCATTTACCTCTTAACGCTTAGCGAAACATTTCACGTGGTGAACTAAATTACACACTGACACAGCCACAGTTCTTTAAATCGAGGTTCCATTTCACGTGCATGGATGGATGCATGCATGTGGAAAACTAGTCACTATACTTACGTTTATTGCTGTTATTATTACTACGGATGACTGTGGTTGTGTCAAGGTTGTGGAAAGACTCATGTCGCAAGAGTCAAATGTCTCTTACGAGCTCCAAAAGACGAATCAAATCGGTTTCACAATTCATTTTCAATTTGGAAATACACATAATGTTGAGTGAAAACCTATAATTAATTTTTTAACCTGTTAGTGTCTCTTTACGCCATGGTCGGGGAGTCAGCACGGCTAGGTTCAACTCCCGATGAGTAACGTTGCCCGGTCTAGCACTCGGGTCTCAGTGGTGGGCGTCAGTCTTCACACGTTCGGTGCAGCCTTCTGTCTCCGAGTCCTCTATGCACAAGGTCTCCCACGTTGACGCTCGAGCGTCAGGTCGAGTCAGGTTCAAGCCTCATCCCCCAAGCGCGGTGTTCTCTCTTAACAAGTGCCCTGCTTCTCCATTGTTGAGCTCTTGCACGTAGGTCCAGGTCGGGAGGGGAATTTTCGAACTCGACCCCTCCGAAGATTAAGTTAGCTTTTTGTGGAACGAGAAAGAATTGAGTGTTCGAGAGGAAAAGCCTTGCAAGCGATGAGTTTTTATACCTACACATAGGGGTCGATTGCATCTGGCCTGTTAATAGCCACCGACCTCTTAAGCAGCGAACCCATACCCTTCATGCAGATATCGATCGTCCTGCAAGGATGTGATAGGTTAGGTTTGCACTGGGAAATATGTCATATTTGATCTTATTGTTCGGTGGAAATCTAATCAATCAAATCGTGTTTGTCTTTAAGATTGGGTTTGGCTGGGATAGCCTGGCCCAAGCCAGTATTAGCATCACATTTTAGCAGTTCGTGCACCTGTCAACGTTGAAGTACGTATATCGAACTAATCCACACATCAAACACAAATCTTTCTATCAAGTTAATGCAGTGCCATAAGGGTAATGCAACGTAAGAATTCATGCGATCAAGGAAGAGTAGAGTAGTGATGGTCTGCGAGACAGCGAGCCAGAGAACACCGAAACCGAAGAAGCAGCAACAGCCATGGGGGGAAGAGATCGCAGGCGATCAACCCCAAGTGTTCGCCAATGTCGTTGGCCACGCCGAGCACGGTGAGTTGGTGCTGGTTGTATCCCATCACAGATTTCAGCGCAGGCGAGTAGAGTGGGAAGCTATAGGCACTGTTCTCGGCCTTCGATGTCATCGTATCAACAAGGAAGGAGTCAGGGGTTTGATAACACAGAGAAGTGGACGAGGTGAGGTTGTGTTGCGCCCTCTCGACTCCTAACGATGTGCGTAAATGATCTATTCGAGTATTGATTCTGGAAGAACTTTCTTTGAGATATTTGTGCCTAATTTTATTCGAGTTGAGATGGTATCTCCTTAAAAGAGTGGGCTGCGTTTGCGTGTCTATGAACTTTGATCACCATGGCAATAGCTTATATGCTGGTATTGTTGATATTAATGTGTTGGTATTTTATGAAGTGTTAGAGGTAATTTAAAAAATAAATTTCTTAATTAGTTTTTAATTAATGGGTTATAGAGAAAAAATTAGAAGGATTGTTGTAATTTTAGATTGAATGAGAATAATTACGTAATTTGTATGCCTCCTTCCTCATCTCTCTTATCTTAGAATCCCAATCTAGTTCTATAAATTTAATATTCTTCATTATATAGTATCAGAGCCAAAGTTATTTTTTGATCATTCTTGAAGACTCAAGTTACTAAGAAGAAAAAGATTTGTGAAAGATCAACCATGACGACAAATATTAGCAACTCAAATCTCAACACGGAGACATGAAGACCCAGTGTTCTAATTTTCAAGGGTGAAAACTATGATTTTTGATTCGTGACGATGAGAACCATATTTCTTTCACTTGATTTATGGGATTTGATTGAGAATTTTTATAATGATTCTGATCAAGGATTGAAATATCATATCATACCGGTGTTTCAAGGTTTGCTCAGTATGGTAAGGTACTAAGTATCGAGCGATATGTCATAGCGTACCGAATGATACACTTAATTTAGGTGTAAAACTCTTCAAAAATATCTGAAAATAAAAAAAAATTATGGTAAAATTTTTAAGTTAGAAATAAATATAGTAATATCATAATTTTAGTAAAATCAATATAAATTAAATAAGAATAGTATCATATATCTTTTTTTGGTTTTGAGAAATAGTCTTATGCAAACATTTAAATTGTTAGACTATTTTATTACAATATAAACTCTAAAATTACGGATGTCTTATTACAATATAAACTCTATTTTATTATAATATAAACTCTAAAATTATTAGACTATTTTATTATAATATAAGACTATTTAAATTGTTAGTCTTATGCAATGTTCGTATTTTAGTCCATTACGGATTGTCCTTATGTAAACATTGAAATATATACAGAAAAAT